TCAGACGCAAATTACACCATCACAGCAAGCCCACAGAATTAAGTTTGCCTCAGTATACATATTACAAAGTGGGAAAAACTCTTGTAATCATCAAGAGGATACGTTTCCAAAAGCACCCTGGCCAGAACGGTGAGTACCACCACCTCTCACACGAGGGATACGGGCCACAGCTCTTCCTGTACCCCAGGACTCTGCACTGGTCTGGTGGCCTAAAACACAAATAACGCATAATCTATATTGTGTACATAACACTTTAATGAAACGTTTACTATATGCCAAGTACATTTATGCACTCACCTGCCAGTTCGCTGACTGCATAAGGCTGGCGGTTGTTCTTGCGCATGTTGGTGTGCACAAAATTCACCACATCAGGGCGAATAGGGGCCTTGAACACTGCAGGCATGACAACATTTTTGCCTGAGGATTCTCCTTTCTCGGAATACACCGAGATGAGGGGTCGGGCACAAGCCTGAGAAAGAAATAAACAATCGTTAGATGTATTCTGTCAGAGAAAGTTATGTAGGCAATTCAAGAGTCTGTAAACCTGTGTAGCATGTGTCTTTAAGACATCCAGGCATGTGACAGGAGAAAAACTACTAACTCATAATTCAGATTTAAAAGGCAGATTAATCTTGACGCAATTGCAGTTTCAATAAAATATCCCTGCTTTAACCGACACAATCAAAGTAAGGTTTCATTTAGCCAACATGAAATCTGCCTCGGTTAGCCTCAATTTAGCTCGTTTCTGCTAAGACGACTTGGCCAGGTTGTTTAAACGTAACATTAATTGTAAATAATAACGGCCGAATATAGCGCATGGATAAATTCAAATGACAGAAATAACCATCTAACTTTAGATGCCATCAAAGTACACAAGATCAGCCTTCAGTGATCTACCCCTGAAAGGACAGCCACACGTGTAACTTGTAGCCGCTCACTCAAAATGGCTCCTCGTGTTAGCTTTGCTAGCTAGGAGCGTTTCAATTTGCTGCTATACTGCATCGGAACCTATGATTTCCAAATTCACAAAACACGCGCTTGCTTGTTCAACACAAACAACAATATGAAGACTCGTGTATTATATCACGTTAGCCTTGAAAAACATGGAAATTCTCACCATTTTCGGTAGTTATTTTCGGCTCGCCGGGAACCACGCTCCTCACGGTATGGCGGCCACAGTAAAAAAGGAAGTTGGCGATTCACCCTACATGGTTTATGCCTCCGCTTTAAATCACCACTTCCGGTGTCAACATCGTCGTGACAAGTCCTTTGTATAACTTCATAAAACGAGCACAGGAAAAGGAAAAAGAATACACAGCATAAATAATATAGCATGTTTAATTTGTCAGTGCTTAGCATGTTTAGCCAAGCAATTTTAAAACCGTTCTTAAACATGGGACTATTTCTTTACTCCATGTTGGCGCAGGAAAGATTGAACCGTTTCTTTCCTCGTTATTTTTAATCAAATATTTATTTTATTTTATTTTAAAAAATCTTGTATATTCGTATTTCTGATACATTTTCAATCATTTTCTACCTCATTATTTTATTTATTTCTTTATAAGGGAAGTGTGTGTTCACCTATGACCCCATGTCGTCACCCTCTGCTTTTCGAGCGCGCGACTGTCAAAATATCAACAACGGATTTGTTAACTTTAAACTCCTTTAGCCACTTTCGTATGTTTTATGTACATCCTTCCTTCTGTAACAGGATACACAGACCATAATTTGGCGATGTGCTCGAAGATTATATCTAGGGCTAAAGAGTTTTTCACGATTCTTCGGTGAGTTTTGAATACATAGCGATTCTAACAAAAAGTTAACCCTCAGAATGATGGGTGAAACAAAGTTAATTTCTGTCGTGTTGATTGCAGCTCTCTTCAGGATGCGGAAAGCAGTGATCCGTATATATATGAGGTAAATTCGTGCATCCTTAAGTAAGCTGTCGTGAGTCAATGCATCTGTCGCTGTTACAGTAATGTTGATATCTTTTGGGCTTCAGGAGGAGGTCCAAATAGTGAAGATGAACGGAGACGGAATCCCTGCGGTGAATATGTATTGTGGGAACCAGACAATCTTCGTCTGTGAAAAAGCTGTGAGTAATGTCAGTCCTTGGACTCATTTACCATATCGAAAATATGTAGACCCAATA